GGCTCCGCACCCTCCGCCACGGACGGCGCACACTGCCTGCGCCCGCCTTTTTATAAGGCAGCCCTTATGAGATGACGTCAGCGCCGCAGAACAGTCTCCCGGCCGACGGAAAGGGCCGAAGAGCTTCGGAAAGAATCGGGCCCCACCCACCCGAGCTCAGCAGGCCAACTGCGGAAGCGGCGCATGCGGGGAGGGCCGGAGCAAGCCGAGGGGTTCCGGCAAGTGCCGAGCTATTCCGGAAAGAGCCGAAAGGCGGGGCAGGGGGCTGGAGGGTGACACCGCTTTGTGCCCCCCTCAGCAGCGAGGGCTCTGAGCCGTTGCCTCACCGCCCTTCACCGCCCAGCCTCGGACACAGGAAAAAAGAAAAAAAAAAATCAGTTAAAATGTGCGTGCAGCATGGTGGGAGTTTGGTTTTCTGCCCCCTGCTCCTCAGCCGGGGGAGAGAAGGCCAAAGCTGCTGCGGCTGCAGAGCACAGAGGAGGGGTGACAGGTTTTACAATTTAAATCAACAGCCCAGACTCAAAGCAGGAGCCTCATTAGGTTTACATTATTAAAAATATGTATAGGTAAGGCTGTCTTTTTGAAGCAGCGTGCAGTGTCACACTGACAAAGAAGCCTGGCAAGGACAGAGCATCAAAAGTCTGCAAACGCTTGTCAAGAGAAATCTATTTTTGAAAAGCCGATGCATAAATTCAAAAGAAAATGAGACTTGAGTATAAACTAGATGTTTAGACACAGCAAAGTTGTTCTACTTGTAATCTCTACTTTTTTTTTTTTTTTAAGAGGGTTGGTAAGGCAGCAATAACTTTATGGGATCAAAGTGGTGAGTGGGTTTGAGTGATTTTTGAGTTAGTAACACTTTCTTTAATAAAAGTACTTAAATGGAAAAAGCACACTTGCAGTAGCATCGTGTCGCAGCCCGTGGGACTGCCTGGAACTATTGTCTCCAAGGAAGAGGATGACTCATAACAGTTTTAATGCATCTCATCGTGAATGCACAATATTTCCATATCTGAGATGCTCTCTGTTGTCATATTTGATACAAAAATGCATATGAAAATACCATGAATAGATGCACTGTATCTTCAGAACACCAAATGGCTAACATTCAAAACTGCCAAAATGACAAAAACCAGAACAGCAGAATACAAGTCAACCATCAGTTCAAGCAATAGATGTAACCGCAAGCTACACCTAAAAATAAGTATTGATTTATTATGATTCTTTTGAAGTGTACTCATTATTCAACTAGAAATTCTTATTAATATTTTTGAAATAGTATATAAATATCTGGAAGTCCTTACTGAGGCAGAAAAGGATACCATGTTTGTTATTTACAAAAATATACTTACTTTGCCCCCACCCCCCCAAATGATAGAAAACCCTAGTACCTGTCAGCAAAAAAAGCAAGCTATTGGATATACCATCAACTCACTCCTTGTGGTTTTACTATCTTGGCAAAATGAGTTTCCAACATAATTGTAGATATGCAAGATGTAATTAAAACATCTCCACTCAGTATTAAAAAAAACCAAACATTTTCAAGTATCCTAATGAATGATGTATTCCTTCAGTGTTATCTGGTAAAAGGATACTGGAAAGAGATTTCCAGCATCCCAGGGCAATCACCAGTAACACCAGTCTAAAGAATTCCAGTTTACAAAATATATACACCAAATACAAATTTCATTTACTTATCAGTCAATTTTAAAGTCACTGTTAAAGGTTTTAAAGACCTCAATTCTAAAGTGCATGTTACAACCTTTTCTCAGAAATCTCAAGAGCTATATAAAAATCAAATTCAGATTCTCATATGGCCTCAACTTCTCTTTCTACAGCTTCAAATTATGATGCCTCTAGGAATAACAAAAAATGATCTGGTAAAGAGAGTAATAATTTTAACTTGCAACAGTATATTGCAAAAATAATGCACTACCTTCTGTAACTCAGAAGCAAATTTTCTCATCTTAGAGGCCACCAAAATAGCAAGGACAGTGCATCATAAATCAGACTAATCTCCCCTCACTCTGATCTTCCGTACCATCTATCTCCTGTATTCACCAAGGAGTTGTAGATTTTCTTGACCATCCCTCTTCTATAGAAAAAAACCCAAACTGCATCAGCTTCAGATTAAAAAGAAAAAAAATCAGACTTTAATATTAATTTAAACAGATTTCTAGAATGAACTATTCTCAGAATAACCCACCATTGGTACAAAACTATTACAGTACTTGATACATAAAATACTGTAACACTGGTAAGGAAAAAATCCATTTCCACAAAAAGAGCCCTTATAAAATGCACCTTGGGTAACCCAGGCACACCATATCCCCCTCCAATGATGGCAGAATATCAGCAGAAGTGCTAGAATGAATGCACCATTTTGACACTTTTTTTTCCAATAAGAAAATGGATTATTAGCTTCCATCTGTCTGATGGATAACGGACACAGAAATTCTGTAGTTTCAGGAACTCTGTTCTTCCCGCATTAAGTTACTGTGATCTATGCAAACCTTTTAAGACAGCAAGTCTATCTCTATTAAATCAAGAGTACGACCTCTTGGAGCAAAGTTACATTCAATGGAGGTCAGTGTTATCACTGCGACGCCAAATGCCTTTACCAATCTCACCGTAGTTTTAAGATGTTGAGACAAACAAGATGCAAGTATGTCAGCATAATTAAAATTGACTTATAAAAGACAGATGTGATAAATACAAAAATAGAGTTCTAGCAGTAAGTTTCTGAGATTGATTACTCTGTTAAGACTTCATAAAGCTGTGAGGTATTTTCATTTCCATGAACAAAATAGCACTGTGCAAGTTTTCAATCCAAGAGTTTTTATCTCTGAAACCCAGAGGTCATCTGGATACTGTATTTAAAACACCTTCTGCATGTTTAAACATATGAAGGAAAAGTCTTCAATTTTCCATAATTTACTCTATAAAAACCCAAAGCAAAGAATAACTTCCAATTATTCACAACAAATTAAACATGAGTTTGTTCTGCCCAACATAAATCTTGATGAATTAAACATCAACAGGTTGATGGAATATTTTTTCTTCATTCCTCTATATACAAAACATATTTATTTTGCCTTTACATGGAAACAGAAAGCCAGGTCTGAAAGCGCTGACATCCAAGGGGAAAGAAATATAAACTGATTTATGATCTCCAGAAGGAAGACTGCAGAGCACCCTTTGGTAATGGAATTTCCTTCTGCTGTAGACATTTCTAGTGGAGAAAGACAAAGAACAAAGGAAAAAAATTCATATCTTAATTTGCCCTCTCTTCTCAGGAATTGTGATGGCTCTTACTGCACACATTCAAAGCATTGCTAATAAAATGTACCAAAATTATTTTTGAAATGATAGCTTCAGTTTGTACTTTCATATTTTAGTATTATAATCTAAGTCAATGTTCATGAATCGATTTAAATTCACAAAACAATTTAAATAATCAAGTATTTTACAGTTCTGCAAGCTTTCTTAAAAAAAAAAAAAAAAAGAGATGCAGAATAAAATGCTAAACAAATGCTACAGAGAGCAGTTCCAAGTGTCTGCTTCCTCACGTGCCTAATCAGGACAACAGATAAAAACAAGCAAACCACTGATAAAAAATAGCTGTTACAGAAATGACTCAGCAGAATCCTCCTCAACCTGCACATCATCCCTCACTGCAACCAGTCTCACTGAACTTAATTTATAATCAAAATACATTTTCACTCAGAAAAATTAGATGTGAGGTAAGAAAGAAGCGAGATGTCTGACATCATAACTATCGTTAAGGTAATTCAGTAACTGAAAAGTTATAAAAGATGGGTTACATCATTGTGATGGGACTGGACTATCAGGTATGCTGCAAGCAGCACCAGACTCATTATCAAAATGATGCTTCTATCAAACGAAGGCAACAGCAAAAACAAAACCAAAATACTTGAAAACTGAAAAAAAGAAATGCTTTACCTCCAAGAATTGCTTGAAACGCATTAAAGAGCCCATCTGTCCAGAGCTGGTAATTGCTTCAATTCTGCAGAAATAACAGCATGTTTCCAAATCTACTTAGAAAGTTGGGTTTGATTTACAAGAGGGTGGGGGGGTAAATAGCAGAAATTGGAAAAGATGGACAAGTCATTCAAGAGCAAACATTCATGAAGTAAAAAACTGAGGATTATTTCACATTCCTAACCACAGATATCATACCTTGGGAAATAGTCTTCTCGGATAAGCAACATCATTTTCCAGAACTGAACCTGATACTGTTTCATGAGAGCGTTGCCACACACCTACAATACAGAAATCCACAAAGACCAGGTTCCAGCACTGGGTTTTAGACTAGCATGACAACATCAACAAATCTGTTCAATACCAACCACTTAATATTTTATCCAGGCATTTAAAGATATATACAATAAAACAAGAAAATCCTCTAAATGCCATTACTGCTACCACAATCACCTTTTTTTTTTTTCCTTGTTGACTGTGTGGTGGCTACTGATACCAATTTTACATTATTCTTCCTCTCATTCCAGTCTCCCTCCAAAAATAACAGCCTTCCTAAATAACCATTTGCTTGGGCATACTGTAGTCATTTCCCCGCCCTGACTACTGCAGTGGAGATTCATCAGCTTTCCTCATACAGTCAGTTTACAGGACAAACATTCCTCAGACTTCGCCACTACTAACAGAATCCCCACAGTGTACTTCACTTTCTCATTTCTACTTTTAGAGTTCTTTGGAAGGCATTTGATAAGCACAGAAGCTGCTTGAGTTCATCAGTATCTGTCTCCCCTGACTTCAGCCTTTCATTTTGGCTCTTACTTAGCCTAGCTCCTACATCCTAGGATATAGGATTAATATACATCAGGCTCTGTCCTTTGCAACCTGAAAAAAACATCCTGTTTTATGAAGTAATTGAGCTGGAAACACTACAGGACCTCACTGGATTGTATGAACTGATGACAAGTGTTAGCAGACCTTATTCTTACAGGACTCTGCAACTATTTTTAAAATACCAGGAACCTTAAACGGAACCAAATACAACAACAGAAGTCGCATATATAAAAACTTCAGGTTTTAAATCACACAGCTCCAAAGCTGTATTTGCAAGAACATGGAAATATTCACAATCCTTTCTGAAGGAATAAGGACAAGTTAAAAAACCTGCTGTTAAAATCACAGTGAACCTCGCCTCAGCAATCCCTTCAGAAATTAAGACGTCACCAACTTAGATCCCTTTAACTACCAACAAGCCACATTACTTACCTCCAGAAAATCAAAAAGAAGTGTAGCTGTCACATCTGCCAGAGGCTCCATATTCAACATCTGAGCGAGCCAACGCCATCCATACTTCAGCCCATGAGGATGTGTCTAGAAAGCAACAAAAGAGCTACCCACCGCTTGTTTTACAACTTGCAAAATGCTATTATTAAAACAGGCGGTTTTCTGATTTACTTTCTTTATAAAGTTATTTTACAATAGCCTAACATAAATCTTAATCATTATGAAAATATAAAGAAACTAAGGTCTATATTATAAATAACTTTGCGTTGCTTTGTTGATTATGGTTATGACCATCTCCCTTCAAATATATTATGAGCTGGTTTAAGTTCAGCAGACCTTAACTACAAATCAATTTACAATATACTTAATAGACTCTTGGGATAGTAACAATGTTTAATTATAATGCCAGACACTCATACCCCTTGTTTGTTTCCATAAGGCCACCGGAGTTGAATGATAGCAGCATACAGACGAATCATTCCTGACATCCGTTTAAGAAAATGATCTTGCTCTTCCATCTTAGAATCCTTAACTTGATATCCAAGCATCCTAAGTATGAGAAGACATTCAAGTACAGCAAAACACATTCATGTGAGTCCCTGCGGTTCTCAGCTTACTCGAAGTCAACTGTACGGAGAATAGGGAGACTCCAAAACCACACAAGAATTATTGCAAAGGCTGATCGTAGCCCTCTGGATCGTATTTTAACACTATTTTATACCATGTAGAGTATTTAGATTCTGTACTGGATATCTCAACTTGAATCAAGCTATGGCTATCAACTATTCTTTGAGAAGGAAGAAGAAGCAAAAGAGCACTTCCAAAGCTGAAGGACACAGCATCCTCCAGGGAAAGATGGTCAGGGGAACTGCACACTTGTGAGTGAATTTCCAGAGACTATGCCAGCACATCACAGTGCCTACATGATCAGAGATGGGGAAAAGCAGAGTTCACTCAGAAGAACGCAGGCTCATGCTGAAGAAGTCCAGTAATAAATTTACCTTTGATACTCTTCCATAGAAGTTCCCTCTTTCAGTGCAGGGTAAAATGGCACAGAATAGGGGCACTTTTTGTGCAGATGAGCTAAAAAGAGGTCTCCAACTCGAGGATGTATTTCCCAGATTCCTGAGGCCACCACAGCAATTGGGAAAGCTGCATCACGGTGAGAAGCTACTTCTTCTTCTCCTTGATTCTGGAGGGGGTAAAGGAAAATCAGTACCCACCCCTTCAAGCCATTTCTCAGACAAAAAAAAAAAAAAAAAATCTCTTTTTTGTGTAATTAGCCTCTACTAAAGGATCCTAATGTTTGCATGGCTATGCAGCCAACCACAGAAAAGCTGAAAAAGCCCCAGGTCCTCAGCTGCCACAGAGGATGACAATAAACTTTGGCTCAGGACAGAAAAAAGGGGTTAGCAAATACATGCACAAAGTGCAAGCCTGTACAGATATTTTCACTCCAAACAATCATTTTCAAGTGTTTACAAATCAGTCAAGTTTACTCTGTAGGGTAATCTTTGCATCACTGCAGGGACAAAAGAAAGTTTCAAACAGCCCAAATTTAGCAAATAAATACTAGAAAAAAAAACCACTGCCAACTTCAAAAAGCAACCTAAAACAATGACACTTCATTTCTCGGGAGGTACTAACTGCACAGCAGGGACAGCAGTTTGCCTCTCAGGCCTTAGTTTTTGGTTGTTTTTCCCCAATTCTGCCAAGATGTAAGGTTTTCAGGATATATACATACAGTTTTGTGATAGACCATTAATTAACTATCAACCTGTTTTCCACTAATGCTGTACCTAACTAGTTAAGAATAAGTAACGTGTAAGCCTGGAATTTAAAAAAGTTCTTCCTCCTAGAAAAGATAAAATAGCAGGAAATAATAAAATACGAAATTACAAATCTTTTTTTTTTAATCCAAAAACCACTTTCTCTAATCAACACAAACATTAATACATGCAAGTTAAACACCTAGTGATTTTGTTCTTAGTAGCTGAAGAGAGGACAGAGTCCAAAAGAACTTCTTATAGCACTAGCTACATTCCCCACCCCAATAAAGAGAACATTTCCTCACCACAAATTTCTCCGCAAGTTTGTAATAAACAAAATCCAGCCCCTGTGGATGCTGAGTCACTGATACAGTTCGCCCTCCACTCTGAACAGACTTTCCAGAGAGCAGGTTATTGATCTTGTCAAATATCTCTCTCAGCTGAGAGCCTGCAAATACATAAGGAATGTATGGAGACAGATGATTAGGAAACAGCAGACAAGTCTTAACCAGACCACATCAACTTCACAAAAACTAGACCTACATCCTGAAGCGCAAAGCATCTCCAACTGCATGCTTGCTACATCTGATTAAAGAAACTGAATCATGATGAAGCAATATGCCTCTGAGGGAAGCAAACAAAACATAAGCAAACGCTGTGCTGCAAAGTCTTGGACTGCATGCCTACCACCTTTCTGCTGTGGGGATAATTACATAAACATTGGAGATGATACGTCCTACTAAAATCTTTACAGCAAAAGGCATTTCAGTTGGATTGGGTTCTTAGTGTTCTCCTGACCTGCTATTCTAGAGATCTGGCTCACGGGGATCGTTGCTGCTTTCTGCAAGTCTGTTTTTATCTTCTTAACCTGCAGAACAAACAAACAAACAACTTTAAAAACTTTTACAGACAAGTAAACTACTGTGATAGTTTGGAAAAGCAGACTGTTAATAGAGGCTGCTAAGTTAGAATTTTTCTATTTATAATTTTTTTAAATGAAAGCTGTCCTATTTCCCCTAGAAATTAAGACAATCACTCTTCATCAGTATTAATCATTTGTTCATACCTCATTGTTGTCTTTGCAGTTGCTGATTCCGCTGAAAGAAGCGACGCACTGCTCAGCAGCATCTTGAAGCTGCTGGTACCACTGCATGGTACTTTCTTCTGCCTTAACTTGAAGTCCTGATATTAAAAAAAAAAAAAAAAAAAATAGCAGAAGACTAAGACAGACCCAAAACTCTAAAAAACCTCAAGAAAACTTTTTCAAAAAAATTGCAAGCAACTAACAGCTTGCAAGTGCTTTTTTTCCCAGAATTTAGTTTAGAAAATTATGCTCATAAATGAACTACAAGTTTGGAAGCCGTACAGGAGGAGTCCTGCTTCAGCTTAGTAGGTTATATATGCAGGATATCTGGACTTCACTGACTCTTAAGAAGGAAGCCATCTCAGTGGTCTGTCCTTTTACGTTTTGTCATATCACGCATGACCCATCTACACTCGCAAAAAGGCACGACATTATTCTCTAATATTCCAATATAGGGCATACTGTCTAGGACGACGTTTTGACCCAGCTAATACAATTTATATTGCAACAGTTTCATTTCAGAAGTTTGCTGCCAGCAGTCCTATGCCCTTTTTGCGAGTTGTGCTAAAAGTAAAGGCTGAGAGAAGGTATGTCACTGCAACATAAGATTCCAAAGTATTATTTAGCCTAACAGTAGAAAGTGTGTAAAGAAGGGAAAGATGGGGGGGAATTTTAAAAAAAGCCTAACCAACCTTCCTTCTGCTGCTTTCTCCCTGACTGCTGTGCAGGGGCAGGATTCTGAGCCTTCATTTGCTCTTTTTTCAGTAACTCTTTCTGCTTCTGTCTCTCTTCCTCTTCATCTCTTCTCCTTTTTTCTTCCACAGCTGCGGCGATTTCTTGCTGCATGCTGGTTATCAACCCTCGCATCTCCTGCAGGGCTCGCTCAGTATTTGCCACATCTACTGGAGTAGGGAAACCTCTCTGTCAAGAAACAGAGAATGTAATATAGTATCAATCTTTTGTCCCACTATCTGTAGACCAATGACAAGAGCAAGGAGCCTTTGAAGCACGAGCCTTGAGATAATCTAGGAGCCAACTACGCATTTTATCTTCTTTGGTGAAAATATCTTTTTCTGCCTTATTTGTACCTAATGTCGGTCATAACACTTGTAAATAATCTTAGTCCATGACTAGATCTCACAAGATCTTGGACAACAAAAATTAATAAGACATTTTCACAAGCATAAGGGAACCCCAATGAAAAGCCTAGACACGTTCCTCTGCAGAAAGCCAGCTGTGACAACCTGGAACAGAGAATTAGCCTTATTATAGCGTTTTGGTTTTCAATGTTTGTATCCCACCTTTACATAGAGAAAAAAGTGTCAAGGAAACTTAGTTACTGCAAAAATGCATATGAGTATAGGACAATCATAATGTGTTCAGTATTTAACAGTTTATGAACCACTCCATTTTCACGGTTGTCTCAAAAAGGAGTTTTATAGCATCAAGAGTTTATGGTCTTTCAATGTTCAATCTTTCTCCTGTAGAAATCCTCATGCATTTTTATAAGCCATTTTCAAGAAAACAGCTAAAGTGCTGTAGAAGAGAATTCTCCTTTTAAAATTAGATGCTTTATAGGACGAACATCTAAACATTTCTGTGACCTTTATTTAAACGGCCTTATACCAAGCTGCCTTTGAAGACAACTACAGGAAGCTTTGTGAAGAAGTGACAACCAAAGTTAAGCACAGCTCCAGAGCCTCTACCTCGCTTGTGGTGCGGATGAGTCCTGACACCAGCCCACAGATCTGGTTGCCACGATTACTGTATGCAGAAAGATCGATTCTTGGCAAGTCTTTGTGTCTATAATTGGGATCAATCTGCTGGTTAAGCTGTAGCACTTCCTCCTGGATGGAATAAAGGCGACGCAATCTTTCCTGGCCCTCTTCCTTACGCAAACGCTCCAGCTCTTCCTGACGCTGCCTCTGCTGCTCTGCTTCACGCAGTTTTAGGTTTAATACCTGGGGAGAAAGAGACAAAATACTAAAATAACTCAAGCTCTACAGGTCCTTCCTGGTCTGATGACTCTAGCTTTACATCTCCTTCTTGCTCCTAAAAGGCACGTGCCTTTACTGCATTTCCACAACAATGCAGGGGGTGTCTGGGACAGCACCAGAAAATACATTCCCACTCCAGGGGTGCCATGTAAATACAAATAAATCAGTTGGTCTTTCCAGTTCTCACCAAGTAGTCATGGTCTTTTATTAAAGAAAACTCTTACAAGTCTCAGACCTTTGCTCTGTGTCGGTGTTCTTCCTTCAGCTTCTCTTGCTGTCCCTGAGCCTCCTTTGAGCTACAATACACAGAAAGACAGAAAAACTGTATTCAAGACATACCCAAGACAAAATACAAACACACAGCATGTAACTTTTAAAATAAGCCAAGAACTTTAACTGTCACAAATATAGTCTTTTTCTAACCATTGAAACCTCAAGAATAGCCACAGATCTACTTTGAAAGACAAACAATAAGAGGATAGTTAGTGTAAGAAAAGCAGCAGGTGAGATTTTTCAGGCACAAGCAACTAGCTTAGAATTGTCAGGCACAAGAACTAATCCTCACTTTGATTAAATGCTATATTTTAAGGATACCAAAAATCAGAGTTAATCTCACCTCTTCTCCATTACTTCTTGCAAATCTTGGAATTCCTGATGCTGCTTTAGCTCCTTCAGTTCATCAAAGCGTTTCAGTTGTTCACTTGCCAGGTCGTACACTGCCCTCACCATCTGCTCTTGCTGCTCCTGCCGTTGCCTTAGCCCCTCCTGTAGATTGCAGAGGTGCCAGAGGCACCACAATGTAGTAACCACCAGAATTTGGACAGAAGAAAACACAAATTAAATTGCCCAAAGTGGGCCAACACATGGGTCTACTTGTGGTTATCCTAAACCTTACTCTCTAAGGTTTAGGATAACTTACTGTCCTGTTACTTTTACCAGAGCATTATTACATCTGGCTTTGTAGCTCTCCTGTGATTCACATACACTCTCAAGGGTTTTTGTTGTTGGTTTTTTTTACCTTTCCTTTCAACCTGTACATCTCTTCATACATCCGAATGCAGCCTTCAACTTCTGTAACTTTAGATGGCAGAACTGCCAGAAAGGCTTCTTGATCCACTTCCAGAAGACCAAGATCTTCATTTCCCTGCGTGGTCAGCACATAAGCAAAATCAGTGACTGAGTATAGTATCAGCAACTCCTGGAGAAAACCAGGTAAATCAAGTCTCCTAAACTGCATATTATTTGTAGAGAACCCGACAAAGGACTTGATCAATGCGCATTTTAGAGTAGTTATATACCCCAGTAGTGCAGCCTCACCATTCTGAGTACCCTCCAGCACCTATATGAGGTGGGGATAAGGACTCTTCCCCAATTGAGACCAGAGATACCAAGAACCAGTAGGACATTCACAAAGGCTAACTGTCACCTAGAAAAGCTAGGCAGACTCCCCATGTTCTCTTAACATTCAGTGAGGATGTTACACCAGAAGAAGTCAAGGCAGGTTTATACTTTGAATCATTCTTCAGGAGGAGTTTCAGACTCTCTCTTAGAACTTTTATCAGATCTTGCTGCTTCATTAAAATGTTTTCCTCACAATATATTTCTTAAGTATAAATGGGGCCAAGATGATGCAAAACTTTGCTACTCAGTGTCATTGTTACAGGGTGAAGTCATCATTTAACGCATAGCAATGGACACTTGTTTTCTCTTCAGGTGCTTCATCAATTTCATCGCCTCCACAACTCAACTGCTCATTGCCCAGCTTCCTACCCTTCTGCCTTGTAAAAGACAGCCATAACACATCTAAGTCAACCAAAGAGAACCCAAGGGGATTACTCACGGACTCTTACAACAGGCCTGATCCTACTCTGTGATCTTATCCCCCCAAATGGATGAATCCCATACTACTAATCCCTATACTGATACAGCTCCTCCATTATGGTGAAGAAAAGAGTTTACTTTTAGCCTACTATGAAAAATTATTCTACGAAAATCTTGTTAATACCATTTTCATCATCACCTGTTTATCTTACAAAAAGCTGAAGCCAAGCGCGTTTTCCCCCACCAATTAACAGAGCACAAACCAAACATTATCAGACAATTTACGGCAGTAAGTTAGCATGGTTTTGCTCACAGCTGCTCACGTATGGATTATAATCAGAGCTACCTTTGTTTCACTTGGGCCTGCAGATGAAAGTGGTGAAGAACCCTGGTGGCTAGCAGATGTGATCTTCTCCAGAGAAGATGACCAGTGTGTGAGGGGAGTGGACTCTTTAGGCGTTGAACTTCTGGAGGGTGCGACTTCTGGGGCTGATTGCCCAATCACTCTGTCTAGGACCCAGCCAGAATACGGGGACAGCACAAGAGGAGACATGCATCCTTCCAAGATATCCTAGAGAGAAAACAGTTTCTGTGAAGGTGAAATATATCAAGAAAACAATAAAACATTACCACACATTCAAAATATTTGCACAGACCAGCAGGCGCTTTATAACTGCAGCTCGGTACCCCATTTA